GTATGTATGTATGTATGTATGTATGTATGTATGTATGTATGTATTTGTTCCAGTGAGCCCAGAATAACCGGAGATTCGCGTATGTATTCGATTTACACTTTCCACACATGCATGTATCTCTCAGCTCCAGAACAGGAAGCCCAAAAGTATAATTTCCAGTTGATATTGCAAATGGAACACAAACCTCCCAGGAATGACTGGGAAAAGGGAAACAGTTTCGTACCATTTGCTCATTCTGGATTCTAATCTAATGGTAAACAACCTCAAACAACCTAGATGTTTTTTTTCCTGGCGTTTCCAATCTACAGTGAACTACGGCGGATTCCGTCATAGTTACCATGAAAACAACCGGATCAATTTAAAACATCTGCCTCTAAAAATTAAAAATACGATTGATATGTGAAAGATATCAATATAAAGCATTTCTTGAGAGCAAAGATTACTTGGATTTTTTATTTTTTATTTATTTTTCCTATATTTTATTGCTTAGTTCTTCTTTTTCTTACTATCTTTCCTTTTTTCTTTCTTTCTTTCTTTGTGTGTGAGTGTGTGTTTGTGCGGTTTTCTCGTAGGTAAAATAAACATTTTCCGGCCAAAATTGTACTTTCTGCCGCGAGCAGAGTTGGTAGCTCGTTGAGTCTATGCGCTTTGAAGGATTTTTCTCTCGGTTGTTTTAAGGTTTTTCTTACTCCGTAAACACATAACGTGCTTTATCTATCACTTCATTTTCTCTAGATTTAATTTAATTCAATTTATTTAGCTGAAGAATCGAAACTAAAAAATTTCAAATTGACTTCCTTAAAAATATAAAAATATGTTGCACATAAAAATACTAAATCATGCAAAACCAGTTTGCGAAGGTATTATGATATATTAAAATAATAAATTGAAAAATCAAACCGTTTTGTGAACTAAGAAGATATATTTCGAGTTTAAAACTGTTGGGTTATGCACAAAACCAGATGTCGAGAGTATTTAGTTGTCTAGTTAAACTATGTTTTCATTAGGAAAAAAATTGAGAAACTAGAAACCTACAATATAATGAAACTTTGTAAAATATTATCAGAGCAAGACAAAGAATAGTTTACATGCATCATTTCACCAAATATTGTGCAGTGTTAGTAAATAGTTTTCCAAACCTGTTTAGTTAAACCACTTTAAAACATGTTTAAGCCTTGGTGTGAATGGGCTATTAGTTTTTGGTCTCTCTCTCCTTCTCTCTCTCTCTCTCTCTGCATCACTCTCTTTCCGCATTTTTCTCTCTCTTTAACTTCTGGCTTTGTCTCTACTTATAAGTATAAATGCAAAAAGAAGCCCCAGTAAATTGAATTAAGCACTTTTTACCTTCAAAACACACTTTCTTCATACGGGAAGCTGTTTTCTACCTGATATGTGACTGACAAAATACCCTGATCTGATAGCTCAGGGTATTTACAAGAAACAAAAGATGATATATAGTGATCAATTATTAATAAAATAGACATATTTGCAACATAATTGTCTAATCAAACGCAATTCATCTTGAGAGATTTTCGGCACACTAGAGTAGATATTTTGTCATAGTTCTTCAGGATATAAGTAAAAAATAATTTGATAACTGATTCGTGTCATACTGACCTAGTTACTGAGTAGGTTTTAGAACTTATTTGAAAGGTTTCATGGCCTCAAAAATTATACATACGCTCTCTATTGACGTTATTTGTTGAAGTCATGGAAGCCATTGAGTGAAAGAATGACCTGCTGTGAGATGCCGCTGTGATATCAATCTCGAGGGTCGTCCGGCTTTTTAGGATAAACAAACACAACCAGAAACCAAGCAAGACAAATCGACAACAACAGTTATATACTCTTCGAAACTTGAATCAAATCCTATTTCCATTTGTCGAACTTTTAAACAAATTATTTACTCTGTTTGTTTAGTTAACAATAGCCGCTGTTTTCCAATAGTCCATTAGTCCATAAGCAGAACAAATGCTATCACAATCACACGCTATTCTGGTGATCACGCTAAAAAGAAAAGAAAGAAAAGAAAAGAAAAGAAAAGAAAAGAAAAGAAAAGAAAAGAAAAGAAAAAGAAGTATAAGCATCTGACTGAGGACGGTAGAAACTAACACAAACCTCACTATTTTCAAATCAGGGCACCGTAGAAAATCGGAAGAAAATCAGAGAATACTATGGAAGACACAGTTATACGGACTCAAGCAAGGAAGGAGGGGAGGGGGAAGGTTTTTTGATGCCAGGGTAAAATGGTGAAGTTTTAAGGACTACGTACTAGGTTTTGAGGAGGATCGAGGAAAACCTGAGAAAACGAAGAAAAATTAACCCGAGACCAAGAGGTGACGGGCAAGGAGACGTTGCCCTCCGCCCTTCCTTCCCCCCCCCTCCCCCCTCTACTCTAGGAACTTTTCGCTCTTCTTCACAAGGGATCAGGGACCAATCCATAACTAAATTACTAAATTCCAAACCAGAATCATGAACAAGTCTTTCGTCTATTATTTRTTAGTTTTTTATTTGGTGACAACAAGAGAATATGAACTTCTCTTGGTGACAATATATATAACATTTATAAAAAGTCCATATAAACATGATGCATTGTGGTGCAAACATCACCATGCATATAAGGCCATGAACGAAAGATGTTTGTATCCAAGCTAGACCACAATGCACCTTGTTTATTGACTCAGAAATAATCTATCAACATGCGTCATCACGTGATTTTTTCTTCCAATGAAATTAAAAAGTTCATTTGGTCAGATCAGGTGATCGATATAGAATAAAATTTTCCTTTAGTTTATCGCTATTGGTGCACTAACTTTTCATGTGACGTCATAACCGCGAATCTCGTGATCGATATGCATACAATTGTCATTTAGTTTATCGCTATTGGTGCACTAACTTTTCTATGTGACGTCATAACCGCGAATCACGTGATCGATATGAATACAATTGTCATTTAGTTTATCGCTATTGGTGCACTAACTTTTCATGTGACGTCATAACCGCGAATCACGTGGTCGATATGAATACAATTGTCATTTAGTTTATCGCTATTGGTGCACTAACTTTTCATATGACGTCATAACCGCGAATCACGTGATCGATATAGAATAAAATTGTCATTTAGTTTATCGCTATTAGTGCACTAATTTACTTTTCATGTGACGTCATAAACGCGAAGTTGGTAAATAGTTATTGTCATTTTTATTTCCCTAGGCCAAACCAAGTTGATGGCCACGTCTTTTCTCATTCAATCAAATCCAAAAGTTAACGCACAAACATCATATAGGTATCCCCAACGCGATTGCCGCCGCTGGTGCCATCGTCGCATCTATAGTCACCAGAGATAAAGGATAGCGCATGTGTATTTGGCCATAAAGCTACACGATTGTATGGTCGCCATTCGCCAGTCCTTTGCGAATGTCCCCATGTATTGGTACTTGGAGTTCCTCCTTTGTGGCCCCATTTGGCACAGTTGGCTGCAAGCTGGGATTGGTCATCAGGAAGACGAACGAATGACTTACAAGCTTTTGCATATGGGGAATTCTTGACGATTAGGTACCTTGGAATATATTGTAAA